ATAATAATATATGTTTTAACAGCAGTATTTGTATATAATCCTGGTTGCCATGTGATAATTTGTTCACACATATTACTGTGTCTGTGACATGGTTTGTATTCTATCTACGAGTCAAACTCGAAAATTATGCAGCATTTATATAAACTAAAAAATGTGAACTATATTCTAACGTCCGCTTTTGGAATTTATATACGTACCAATCAGGAAAACAGGCAGTAAAAGAGACAGTCAGCCAGCCAGCCAGATTTCCAAACATGTAGGTGAGGAACATGTTTTGGAAAATCTATATGCATGAACTTAACCAAACCACGTCGACAGCGGTCGAATTGGCTTTTGAAAGTGATTATTAAACATTTGATGCTACATACAATCTCGTAATGCGTTGTGTTAAAGTAGGTGACTATATTAATTACCGTCGTGAAATTGGAGACACGTAATTCGTCCGTTACAAAGCTTATTTATTGTGTTGATATCCCGTAAATCAGAGCATTATGATAACAGGTCAAATGTAATTACACAGTCCCATGTTTCGCTTCGAATAATTATTTTGTACCGGAGCAAAGGAGTTCATCAGCGCTTATGTTATGGTTGTGTGAGTTAGTTGTTTACGGTAGTTAATTATCCGGTGTTATGCATTAAACCTTATTTTGAGGACTCTCAAAGGGTGCATCTCATTAGCTGGGCGCAGCCATCATCCAACACAATTCGTCACATATTCGGATCATCCATGGATCAGAGTCGCTCAACTTGTTGGTTCATGTCTTTTGGGGCTGTCAGAAAATTTTTAGTTGAGAATCTGTGTCTGATACCCCTGTAAGGTGATCTGTTTTTATCCATTTTATGGGGTTATACAAACATAGAAAACTTTAGTGAAATATATAATGTATTTGTGGTAACGATATACTATAACTAATGAAGCATTGAAATTGGAAGTATGAATTAAATTTTATACGAAGGTATGAAGATGCTGTCTTCTGGATTGTGGCGCCGTGTGGTCTGGTAGAAGTTTACCGACTTTTCAGAGGTGAATCGACAGTTGTCTTCAACTTTATCACTGATCGTACTTTGTAAAATAATGTGGGACAATGAAATGTTTATAACAGCAAAATCCGGTGAAATATTATATCATAAGTAATCTCATTGTATTATGAATTACAGTTCTAAGCTAATCTCTAATTTCCAAGCGGCTTAAGGAATATTTAATCCATGTGCAACTGCAGCGAGCCAAATCTTTTACTTGAAACATTAAAATTCTACGCACGGAAATGCCACTATAAAAAAGCCGACCGAGATAATATAAAATAACTGTAGCAACGGGCTGAATATTTTGAATAAATATGGGACTGAAAGCGCTCTACTCTGCTCGATTTCATCACCTCATTGTAGACCATTGTTATATGCGAAAGATGAGGAAAATGAGATGAGATCTGCGTTCAGATAGGCGCTACCATCGCTGGCTGCATCTCATATCACTGCGTGCACAGTTCCGTTGCGTGTTCTGTAGACCTACCGGTTAATCTGGCTGCAAGTCCTACATACTAGAATAGCTCTGCCCCTTACGTATTCTACTGATGCTTTCACTTCATACGCCTCCTCGCGCTTATTATCTCTCATTTATTTCATGGTCGAACGGCTGTGCCCAGTTCACAGTAGACGTCATTTCCATAACGAAGGCTTGAGTGAGTAATGTACCCCTCTCGCTTCGCGGCCCAAAGCCCAATACAGCAGCTAGGCTCTGTTTTATTTACGACTGCGTAGCATTTATGTTGCGAGTGTGCATGTGTGTTAGTGCATACTCTCGTAGACTCATAAAATTATAATTCTAAATTTGCCGGCTTGGTACCTGATGGTTAGATTGGGTTGTGTTGGGTCAGGTTCTTTTTTAGGTAGGGCTGGTGTTGTTATATTGCGTTGTGTCAGCTTAGATTAGGTTAGGCCAGATTATGTTGGGTTAGGTTTTGTTAGAATGTGAAAAATGTTGGCATTTCACTACCACTCGACAGTCGGAGTTGGGATGCCAGCGTCTTGTGGCGGCCCGAAGCACCTAGTTGGTTAATTTCAAATCTTATATACTTGTCGAGACTCTCTGTGTCGTCAGCATGTAGATCCCGTCTTATACTTGCTAATTTCGGCGTTTAATGTCAGAGTCGGAACGACACGCATCGTCATGCGTTTTCGATTTGCCTACGTTCTGTAGCATAGATCCCGATTCTCATTTTTACAAAAAATGAAAGCTTATGTCGGCGTCGGGACAAGTGGCTTTGCTACGTCCGTTTTCCAGAATAATGCCGTACGATACGATGGAAACCCTGAGACAGGTATTATTCCAAACACCATTTAATTAACCAAAATTCGCAACAAGGATATGAGAAACAATTAAAGGCACTGAAACCGCGGGTCATAAAATTTAATTAAATGAAGTCGTGGATAAATTCAAAGCCACATTTCACATAAGGTAAGATACAGAACCACTGTGTATGAGTGGTGTTAATTTATAGTTTTAATGTCGAAATGAATTAGTAATAGTAACTTAAGTTACAACAAGTCTCATTGGATCACGTATGGTACGCATTTAGTTAAAATAAACATTTGGTTCCTGGAATGTCTACTTTTCTTTCAGTTACAAAACCTGAAAACTATTAACCATTAATCAAATCATATTTGGAATATATAGATCAGGCCGCGATTTATTGAATTGGGTGTATTTTTTATACGTATGTGTATTATAAATAGCATATCAGAGCAAATGATCCATTCGCTTTAATAAATTGTATGGCACGTCACAATTTATCATTATATATTTAAGCGCCACCTTCGCATTGCGCCTTCTAAAGCGGAATTTGGTGGTCAAAACTAAACTTCACATTTGGTACTGATTTTATAAACCACTTATAAGCCACTAATCCACTATAGGAAGCAGTTACTTCCTTATTTATTAAAGGATTGTGTATAAAATATGTACATAAACTATAAATGCTAGAACTTCCTATTGTATTACAGAATTCAAACGGACTATTTCACATTCTCTTTCACCAGTTTTTGGTACGTGATAGAATAACAGACAACACAATTCTGACAGAGCTTCTGCCACGGAACCACGTAACCTCACTGTAAATGGAAACTGTAAATTACATTACCCATTGTTTCTGCTCTCTTAACATGCTTTAAAAAGTGGTGTCTTTTTTATCACGTGAAAGAGGAATATTAATTTCTGAACGTGTTTGATAATGCCGAGCTTTTCAGAGTTGGCCCAAGTTTCTGATCATGCGTGATGATCCAGTTCTAGAGATGTATAAATATGTAACGGAAAATTTTCAGTCAGGCGAATTGAATTAGTGAGGTAGCTGCTGCTAACATGGTTTTCCTCTCGTTTTGAACAATTCTGTTATTCAATCAAGGTCCCCATCTTCCTTATTCGCTTACATATAAATCTAGTTTCATACTTGTGGCCCCATTACAAGGAACAACCCATTCTGTACGTGGTCTTTTCTTAAGCGCGCGTGTTCTGTAAGTGCAAGAGGGTAATCCCATAATGATATGGAGACGTGTGAAGTGGATGAATGGCCTTGACATGATAAATGAGTTGCTCCATGCTGTACATTCTTTCAGTTTAAAGTTCAGTTATTTCTTCCGTCGCCTGACAAATTATCATAAGCACAGCCGCTGAAGCAACTCTCGACAAAGGGGTATAATTTACCGACTTTTATGTACTGAATAAGATTTGCTTTCTGCCGTTCGATTGAGACTACAAGGCGTTAAAACTCAGACGACAACCGTCTTCGTACAGCGGTCTGATGGTTAGCATCCCTACTTCGGGAGATCCCGGGATCAAATCTTGGCCGGCAGACCAACTATACTGACATATTTTCCTCAGTACCTCCAAGAAAATTCTGATATAGATCTGGAATTAAGCCACAACCGCGTCCTTCCACATCCTTCCCAATTTATTATTCATTAATCATCTTATCTTTTGAGTCTAGAATTTAGTATGAGATACTGACACAAATATAAACATCAGCAAGGGCTAGTTGCGTCGTTAAATAACAAAAGAATCAGCCTTTTTCAGTTTCTCTGCTCTTATCACTTCGACGTGAAAACTTGTACCTTCGAGCGCAGTGTGGGTTGATGGACCGAAACTTGATAAAGAAAGAGAACGTTTCTTCCATTTTCTAAGGGGGTTCCTGCTGCCTTCAGAAAGGTGAACGGTAAGGCGTAGAGATGCATTGTTTTTTACTTCGTAGAAATTCGGGTCAAGGAAAACGCTAATTCGCGTCGTTTCCATAAATGCTTACTGTATGAGCTCTGACATTTATCATAGAATCGTTGATCGAAAGACACGGGAGTTCTTTATCGTATTCCAGTCGATTTGTTGCGGACAAAGAAAGTTGATTATATGGGCCTACACACGTAATATAAGCAAGTCTATGTTGTAAATGTTTATTTTCCTCATATTCAAGTGTTTGAGAATGCATTTTGAAATTCTACCAAATTATTGAAGTTATGTTAGATGGAAGCCAGATGTGATTTTAACTGCATTTACTAACAACAAAGTAATTAAAATAGCCACTTCTGGAATTGGGTCCCGACTCAGTCTTGATTTTTTTTATTTTACTGGTATTTTTTTTAGAGTATTTATTACATTACTGATGAAACTAAATAGTATCATTATTTATGATAAAACCGATATATTTATGTTCATCCTGCATTGTCTAATATAACAACAAAAGTGCCCGAAGAAACCAGTTGCGCAGCTGTTTTCCTTTCTGCATTATAACACATTTTATATTCAGAAGCGTTTGGAATGTTTTGTCAGAGTAGACTTACTTACGAAAAGAATATTTTGTAGTAATGATATTTTTTCTGAATTGCTTTGATGCATTGCCAGTTAAACTAAACCACAAGAACTTGAATATAAAGGGAAGAAATTTATGAATGTGAGATTGTGTTCACCACACGCACTGGCGCTGTAGGTTCTTATTATTTTTGCTTTACTATTGCAGGTATTCGAGCTCTATAACATGGAATTTCTCAGAGCAAATGGATTGTATAACCGAACAACATTTACTGAGAAATGAGAAAGGGAACAGAAATCACATAGTACATAAAAACGAATACAGATTGCTCTCGGAATTTACTTTTCAACGATAACGGTGGACATAAAAATCCGTCCCATTTTCTTGTTTATGTAAAAACATAACCTGAACCAATATTGACTTCAAAATCACCGATTGGAGAAGAGCGAGAGAGGAAAGGGAGAAAGACAGGTGAATGTATGCTGTAGTGTGAAACGGGCGGCTCAGATTCAAGGCGAATGGAAATGGTTCGATGTGACTCATTCGCGGCGCCCAGCGGACATCGGCATTTGACCGCCGCGCCCATTCCATCTCTTTCTTCGTCCACAACGAAGCTGGCAACTTTTTAGGAGGGCCAGCGGGTGGGTGGAAGAACATTTCCTCTTCCAACGATGAGCTTTCATCGGAACACAGCGAAATCCAATTGAGCTAAAGGAAAAATGAAGAAGAGAACGAGGGGGAAAGGGAGGGAGCGCGGAGTAGTCGGTGGTATTTGTTTCAGAATTGAATGCTCTGAAACGGAATGCGAGGATTGAAAAACTTCATGAACCATTTGAAGTTATCAGTTCTTGCCCATCGATTGTCATATTTATGTTAACTAACTTAAGTTCTATTTTAGGTTTGGGACACACTGCAGAGATGTGACTCATGTAAACCGGCGACTAACCGCCCGAGCTATGAAATGGCCGTAACAATTAATTAACAGTAATAGTTGAACTTAAAAAAAATATTTAATAAGAGGTTATCGTCCAACTAAATCGCTCTTGCTGTATTTTCCATGATCTGAAATGCCAGTAATTCTTAACATATTTCAACCATGAGGACGTGTTCGCAAATTTTAATAAACCTAACCAGTAAATCTTATAATATTCCAGAAATCCGAAGTTGGGCATTAATGAAAAACTGTTAAGTAGTTTCTGAAGTTTTTAAATGCGGGTAAACAGTGCGACAAAGAGACAAACATGGTGAAGCTAAGAGGTTCATTTTTGCAACATTTACATTTAAACACACAGAAAATAAGGAAAATGACTGACATTTATCCGATACATCTCCCATGCGCTTTAAAACATTGAACCCTGGACCGTTCATTGGCGTTTAAAGACTTTTCGTTGTGCAATTGGCTGGTACTTTAGTCAAGAGTTTTAGTGTGTGATGATTGTAAATATGAAACAGCTTAAGATGTATTGTTTTTGTTTCTATCTGCCGTGCGCTGTATTTCGCCTACAACACAGCGAAACGTACTTCAAAGAGAAATTGTTTGATATAACATTTGAGAGTCCTTTCCTGTTGGCTGTTTCGTGAAAAATGGATTGAAATGTAGTGCAGCTCATACACGTGAGAATTTATCAGCAATATATTTCCGTGTACGGAAACTGTTACGTTAGTTTTGACAGTGAGTCACAAAATAGTTCATAAATAGGTTATGTTTTTTATTGTAAATTTTTTAGCAAGAATTTTGCATTTTTCGCAGCAAGCCCAACGTTCACACAAACTGATACGGACTTTAAAGCTGAGTATATTTTAAAGTCCCTTCATGAAATATTCTGGTAATGTCAGAGCGGTGTGTGTGCACATGCCTTTCAACATGGAATCAAGATGCAAATATATCAGTGAAACAGTAGACTGCAGCTTTACCTACAGCCTCAGTATGCATGTATTCATGATTGTGTGGAGTTTTATGCTGGTCTTAGGAATTCCGAACAAATTAAATTGGACTTCGAGCAATCTGAACTGTAGATAATTAAAAAATCTAGTGTTCCATTACAGTCTTATTGATTTCCACAAATGCATTTTAATAAATCTGAAATGCAAATTTTTCAGATAACGTTGCATTTTTTTATCTCATTTTGAATTTGACAGACTTTGACCTTAGGCTTGTTTCTAATCTTCCACGGACAACCCCTGGAATATAATGAAATTTCATTTGCAATTTTCTAATAAAGACTTCAGTTTCACGTAATAATAACACACGCTGGTCCGGTTTACTTAATGATCCGGCAGAGTTTCGAGTTTGAGAGTAATGTGACATCCACGATTACTTAATTTCTTTGGTGTTTTTCTAGGTATCTGAACCCTGAAAATGAATACAGTATATTCCTCTGAAGCATTGGTATTTCTCTATAGGTTTATAAGGTTTTATTACGTAGAAAACCAAGATCTACATCTCACCTTTGTGAGAACCTCACATCCTAAGTGTTGATTGTATTTTGACGTGAATTATGCCATGAAGAACTTTCTCCGATGAGATGTTATTCGGTCATGTCCCCTGACGAGTGGGTGTTAAACCACTTTTTAATTTCAGTATTTTTCAGCGCAGATTATTTTATATATGCCCGTATGTCAGACTGCTTGTAAATGCTAAACCGATTTATAGGCCGTGATTAAAATTGTAATGTAATGAACCACGACTCACGCCTGTGTTTCTAAATGTTTTAAATCACTAATATCTACAGCAGTGCGAACGTCCGAGATGAGAGCAAGACGTGCTGTTTGGCAGGCCCTTAAAGTAGTGAAATTTTTTATGGTAACAAATTTTGGAATAACTTGAAATCATTATTAAGGAGGTTTATTTGTGGACTTTGGCTGTGTAATAGACAAGTGATGTGTCGTACCTTCATTGTTCGGTTGGTTAGTGATCATTTGAAGATTACTGTCTTCTGGGTTGTTGCGCTGTGTAGTCTGGTCGATGTTTACCAACGTTTCAGAGGTAACACTGCCTCCGTCATCAGGGCGATGAATCGACCAGACTACACAGCGCAACAACCCAGAGGACAGAAATCTTCATACTCACCGCTGTGAAAACCTCAAATGATACATAGTGATCATTTGTTGTTAAGTGTGTCTTGGGCCGTATGGGATACTATTTATGACCACGTGTGTTTACAACTTTAGATTTTCTCGTGATTCTGGACGGTAAATTTGCTACTAGCTTATAAAACACATACATGTCATATGTGTGAGGTCGGTTCTTAGCTTTCCGTGTGATTGAGATCAAAAGACAGGAGCAAGGGATCTGCAATTTTGTATACTGTGTTCATTCTAGCTCTGCCTTTATCGACCCATACATGTTTACAAACAAACTGCCTTTGGCTGATAATGCTTGTAATGGTGGCATAGTTCACAGCATAGATTGAACGAAATGTGAAAGTTGGAGGATTTATAGGCCAGATTAAATGCACTGAACTAGCTTTGGGAACTACACATGGAATTATATCACTTGATTGTAGAATTAACAACTTACTGTTTCTGCTAATAGATTTAATCACTGAACCATGCTTCTGTGATATAGAAAACTTCACCAAATTGAGATATATGGAATGATGAAATTAATTCGTAGGAAAATACAGGAAATCATAGAAGGCTGTTTCTAGAAATTTTGTCAAGTCAGTAATGTGGTGAGGTAAAGCTTAAATAAGTTTAGCACAGCTTATTAACGTTGAGCTTTCTATTACGAATTTTATTTTCACGACGTAAAGCATAGGACGCCGATTATATAAACACGGGATACTGCTAAAATCACTTATTTTATTGCATGCATTTCGTACGATTATCCGGGAAGTAAGGACTACAGTCCCACGGATATATTAATTTATTTCAGAGCTTGTGTTCCTTAATATGCATTTATTTCATACTGGAGCCACTAATCTTTTAACTAAACGATTGTACACTTTATAAATTTAATTGGCAAACACTTAAATAAATTAATTGAATTGGATTGAATTGAATCTTGTTTTCCACATTTCTTCTCGTCGTACCAAAGTAATTCCAGTACTACGCCTAACACAACTAAATTATTTAAACAGCAGTAATTAAAACAATAACATAAAAATTTGTATTCCAATTTTAGAATACTTTTCAAATTATTTCTTAGCGGTAATGAATACGTCAATAATCTTTACCGTCTTTCTTCCTTTGCCTTTTTTTGCACATGCAGGACGGTGTTGTAAATCTAATCATAATAAATATGCCCAAATTAATAGTAATTTTCCTTGTGTGTCGTTAAATATCATACAGTGCATTAACTATTCCGCCAGACTGGTAAGTGGATGAATGTAGCAAAGTATTGAAATTGTGTCACATGTGAACAGATACCCATATTACATCTGTGTTCGTTCGTTGTATTCCGATGTGTACTTTTCTAGTCACTTGTTTCTTGGTACTTTTTTTGGGAGGGGAGGGGGAATACGCTTGTTAACGTTGGTTTTCTTTACATGTTTGTACAAAGCAAGCAGCTCATCTACTCTCCGGCGTGCTTAGAGTTAATGGGTACCTTTCTGTTGAAGTAGTCGTAATTACAAAGTACGTATGCAGACAAGAACATGTGGAACGGATGTATTTTCATTTCCTGTAAGAAAACTGGGACGAGAGTGCGTTCATGTGTGTATGGGCGTGTCACAGTGCACACGTAATGAATGAGTCTTTCGACTATCTGAAGAAAGAGGTGCTTTGGAAAACAGAAAACATTCGACTGTGGCCTTTTTGATTATCGCCCTCTGTAGTCTTTACAGAAAGCAAGTGGTCGTGCTATAAGAACATTGTCTGTGCTTAGTAGAGAAGACAAATTAATTGCTGTGATACGAAATTACGTTTTACAATGTTTCGATTTTCATACTGATTTAAAATAAAAAATATAGTGTTATAATATTGATAACAGATAATCGTAATGTTGTTTTATAGTTTTATGAGGAATTAGCAGTGGTTTATATTTTATGATTTAGCCGCTCAGTGATTGGAGCTTGGCTCCTTGGTAGGCACTTGAATCTCCTCAGGGGTGATAACGGCATGTAACTGCCGACAACTAGAAGCTGCCGCTATTGCTGAATATAATTTTTTTCTTTTTACACAATTTATTTATTTAAGAACAATACAGATGATGATATTTGGCTTTAGCCGCAAGACGATTATTTCAGAATTGTATTGGATTTGCGTGCGACTGTGTTCAAAGTTTGTTGAAGAGTCCCCCTAAACTGATGCGCTGCTGTAAGCGTCCTGTCCCTGGTTCGGAACTTTCAAAACCAGTGAAGTATTCACCTGCATTCAGCTCTTGCGTCTAATTGGCTCTTTCAAAGTTTTTCCCTCACACTCCTTAATGTGTATGGTCCAGTAACATTCGTCTGCTGAGTGACAATGAACCATAAAGTCCGAACTGACTTTGACATATTGAAGCCATAAATGTCAAAGTGTGACACATGGGACTACAACCAATTCACGACAATTTATTACTCATTAGTGTCAAAACCAAGACTTCCGGGAACCGAAGGTCCTCGCACGTCTGTGTCTTAAACACTTAGGTAGATGGCATGAAATGGAAGTATCCATCCCAGTATTACACTCCAAACATCACAAAAAGTTAAAATTTTGAAAAGAAAACTTAAAAACAAATTCAGATTAATAAACCAATAAGAAATTAAATAGTATGATTAAATTACCTCAGCAGAAGATGTAATGTGGACCGTTACAATAGGAATAACGATTCGAAGTGTTTTATAAATAAATGGCTGCTTCGTAAATTTCTAGTAACACTAAATAGCACTTTGTAGGTTTTATAGTCTTTCAGTGGCATTATGTCCACTCATCTGTGCATGAATGTTTGTGAATTTGGAAACATTATTGAAGAGTGTTGAAGAGAATCGTGGCAGAGTTTCGTGTATTGACAAACATATATATTATTTTAAAATCGAAGCACTATTTTGCTAAATGCACTTCGTGTGTTACTTTTACGTGTTCTTAACACGAGGTTAAACTTTTGTTTTTAAATTTATGACGAAGAAGTTAATAATTTAAGGTGAAAACATTCATATTTAACATAGCAACCTTCATGAAAGCAACAATTCTGGGATTCTATTTTCTCTGGCATAGAAATGAAGAAAATGCACTCAGTTGCATAGGCGCTGCATAAAAATTATGAATACGGGAAGTAGGAACTGGAAACAGAAAGCATTCTTGAAACCAGTTTTCGGTATCAGAACCTTTCGAAACTTCTCCTTGAAGAAGACTGCTCTATGTGAAACCGAATGCAGTTCAGCTAGTGAAACAAAATACTTTAATTGCTTTGGACTTCATCCGGAGTGTTAAAGAACTTACAAAATAAAAAACACTACACTTTAAGCGATAGACTTTACTTCGTCTTTACGGGGGGTGGGGGACATCTGTTCGTTTGATCTTTAGACAGATCGGGAATAGCTCGGCCTACTGGATCCAACAGAATTTTGTTAGTCCGCTAACCCCAATTTAACTGACGACGGAAAATCATTCTTTGAACCGTTGTGATTTTTTTAACGTTCTGAAATTTTTAAGACACTAAAAATAGGCAACGTTTAATGTCCAAACAAATAAAGTTTCAATATAATACCGCTAAAACATGCACGGAAGTATTAGTAAGAAATTCCAAATTTCGTGTGGAAGCAGTTGGTTCTTTAACGTATTTATGAGAGATTGTACTGGACTCTGTCCTGAATAAGGTGTGTCGAGTCCAAAACTTCACGCCGTCTGTTTCTAAGATATTCCAATGTGCTCCTCTCATTCAGGCACAGGTTTAACAAGTAATCTCTTAAACTGATATCTAATATGCCTTAGTCAAATTCCACTTGCGTGCTTACATGTCCCGCTCACCGTATCATACTCAATTTGACCGCCATAATAATACTTAGTGAAGCTTACATATTACTTGTACCTGCCTATTCGTTATGCATCTCCTATCTTATCCTTACTTCCTCTCACTTAGGTTCATTTGTTCTCGGGCCAGTCCAGGTCTGCTTCCT